TGCTGCACTTACCATGTCGTTTTGGTCAACGTCCTCTCCAGAGTGAAAACATGCGGCAGGGCAGGAAATCAAGCTGAAAAATGTTTCTTCGTGAAAAGTCTTCATAATGCACATGACATACCAAAGTTTTAAACGCGGCGTTCAAAGTGGAGCGTGAATATTATAAACATGGGAATAGGGGTCTAGGCCCATCGTTATCTCGATTTTAAATGAATTTTAAACAGCTTGTCGAAATTAATTTAACATGCACCGGTGCATTTGGTAAAGTAAGTGTCGTCTGCTTCGATCCAAACTCGTGCAGCGGCAGTGTTTCCCGATTGGCTAAACTCGTAACCATGACATCACGTGGCTATTCTGGTGAACACCTGCATGAAATATACAACACTTCTAACCTGATTTGACATTTGTTTATATAAATAATCTTAACCGACAAAGCCATTGGCGGTTGGGTTTGTCTAGCGAGGTTAAAGCGTTGACTCGTCACACCAATTCACCACATGGGTACACCATGCAGAGCCGATTTTGACGCTCCTCTCCGTAATATGGCTTTGAATCTTGTTCCAAATTTCGCAAATGATTTTGTCATAATAAATGGTAATTTTGAGCGGGAATTAATCATAATAGAATCGAGATGTAATACAGTGGATGGTCGACCATGAGTTGCCAAGCGCCTTAACATTTTGATGCATTTTAATCATAATGATGATTATGAAAACAAAATTATCAAAGAATTATGAACAATATGTATAAAGTACCACACTAGCAAAAACGTATCAGCTTAGGGTCAAAGGAGAGTTTTTTTATGTAATGGAAAATTATTGAAAGAACTGTTGTTAAATTTTATTATGTCTATTTAACCATCACTAATTCCTGCAACAATTTGTGAAATGTAATCTGTGTCTGATTTTTTGTGTGTTAAAATATATTGGTTCAATGAAGACTAGGGTAGGAAATGAACTTGCAACCACATGACCCCTTACATGTTTTAAATGTTATTAATTTATGCCGAAAAGAGCAAATTTATTGATTTTCAAGATAAGATATCAAAGATACCCATCAACGAAATTCATATAGTCGGTCTCTTAGAATGTATATATTGTGATCCAATTTTAAAGAGACCAAATTGCTGGGTTCATCACTAGATTCCAGTTCCGTTTCAAGTAACCGTAAAAAGCGACTATGCTTGCCGTAAAAAGCGACTATGCTTGCCGTAAAAGGTGACTATGCTTGCCGTAAAAGGTGACTAACGGGATCGGGGGGTCAGGCTCGCTGACTTGGTTGATGCATGTCATCAATCCCAATTGCGCGGATCGATGCTCACGATAGCAATCACTGGATTGTCTGGTCCAGACTCGATTATATACAGACCGCCGTTATATAGCTGGAATATTGCTGAGTGCGGCGTTTAACAACCAACCAACCAAACAACCAACCAACCTTGTCTTCAGACAATTAAAATCAATCGCGCAAACATTCATTTTTAATCAATGTTCTTGAATCATATAATGATCTTGCTACTGGCCAATGCGACATCTTTTTCTGTTGGTTGCCCAGCCATGTTGGAATCATTGGTAACACAATGGCCGATGCTGCTGGAAAAGCAGCACTAAATAAATCTGTGACACCACTTCTAATCCCATACAGTGATTACAAACTTGTAATCAGATGTTACATTAGAAAGGTGTGGGGCACCCAAGTAGGTATAAATATATTACATGCAATAAAGCCAGCTAAAGGTCACACCTACTTAGGTTTCAAGCCAGATTTGAAGAGGTCACAATGCGACGATGTCGTATTGGCCATCCTCGGTACCCTCATGAATATTTATTGAAAGGTGAAGATCCTTCATTCTGTATCCCTTGTTATGAGTAAGTGAGTATAGTTTTACGCCGCTTTTAGCAATATTCCAGCAATATCACGACGGTGGACACCAGAAATGGGCTTCACACATTGTACCCATGTCGGGAATCGAACCCGGATCTTCGGCGTGACGAGCGCTTTAACCACTAGGCTTTTTAATTTAAGTTTTCATTTAATCATCGTTTTTTAAAAGAAATTGAGTTGTTTCATACATTTTAATTGATATGTTTTGCATATAGTCAAGGACCTTTCTGCAATTGGTAGAATAAATTTGATAACCGAGATTGCTCGTAGCTCCTCGAAGGGGGTTGGAGGAGTGTAAACTGATTGTTCCCCTGAGAGGGTATGTAAGACCACGTCATTCAAAGTAGTTTTATTTCTACCACGTTTTTAATCGTAAATTATGTGCTGTTATAATGTTTGGCTAAATTTGACAGCCATCGCCAACAACTAAAGGGATGATATAAACCCTAGCCTCCCGGGGTCCATGCAGGTAGCAAAAGTACACGGTCCTTTGTATATAGGGGGCACAGGTGGCCCAGTCGTCTATGGAGCCGCGATTCGCTGTGCAGAGTTGCGTCCCTTGGTCGCGCCAGAAACCTATGATTGTGGGTTCGAATCCCGGTTCGCCCTGATTATGTTTCCAGGTTTGTCAGCACAATACCCGTGCTCGTTGGCCGGGTTTCACCGAAGTGGTAAACGTCTGAGACCTACATCACTTCGGGCTTTTCTCCCACATTAAGCTGACACGCCGTGATATAACTAGAATACTGTGAAAAAGCGGCGTTAAACCCAACTCACTCACTCACTCACTCCTTTGTGTAGTGATCCTCCTTCAGTTGCTGTCGATCTAAAGCTCCTTTTTTTATGTGTTGTTGAATGATAGTTTATTTTTACATGCTCCCAAACTAGTTATAGATAAATCTGTTATATTCTGGTTATTGTACTGTCCTTTGACGGCAGGATTTTATAGATTAAATGTATTTCTTTTGTAGAACATATGATAGTCACGATATGGCTGAAATATTGCCGATGTGACTTTGAATTTTAACTCACTACCGACGTTACACCAGTGCATCGTCAATTTCCTCAAAGAATATTTTTGCACATCCTTTTAAAAACAACGTGTCAAGGCAAGGTCTTTGAGGTGCTAGCCCACCTTTCACCATCAACACGGGAGTGGCAAGTATCGATAAACCGGAGTTTGGGCCACGTTAACGCTGGGACAGGCCCAAGTCGAGCATTATACACAAACTCGATCTTCGATGTTAGTTTATGACGTTAATTAATGCTTGTTGTGGGTAGCTGATTAAACCCTTGCTTTGACAAGTGTGGTATTGTGAGGCCTTAACATAAACAACGCATTCGTCTTAATCACGGCAACGACAGTGGCGACATGATCACCGTCATTACGGCGTTGTCGGGCCCGGAGTTCAAAACCGGCTACTGTATTCTCCGTTATTGTGAGCTAAGATTGATCTCTGGTCTGCCTCGTTGTGAAAAAAACGTATTCTCGCGTGCACTATTGTTGGGGATTCCCCAGGGCCCATGCGTGCGGAGTGACGCCTTTAACCCCTTAACCATTGCCAGGCGAAGGTTTAACGGGGCGTTTAGATTATTGCGCTTATATCTACGTGCATGCACGTGTGTGTGCGTGGCTGCTTGTACATGCTAGTCCGGTCTGATGCCGATTTATAGTGCTAGCCCACTGAGATACCATGCTGCATTTTAACATGAATATCGCTCTCAGACATAGTATACTGACTCCGAACCAACCAGTCCTTGTTTTAGCCCCTTAATGCCGAGCGCCAGACAGGGTAACAACAAGTACCATCTTTTAACATTGATCGAACCCACTACCACTAGACCACATGTACGTGTGTGTGTTTGTGTGGCTGCTCGTACTAGTACGGACTGATGCCGATTTATAGTGCTAGCCCACTGAGATACCATGCCGCAGTTTAACATGAATACCCCACTCAGACATAGTATACTGACTCCGAGCCGACCAGTCCTTGTTTTAGCCCCTTAATGCCGGGCGCCAGGCAGGGAAACAACAAGTACCATTTTTAACGTCTTTTGGTATGACGAGGTGCGGATCGAACCCCCGACCTTCCGCTCTCGGGGCACACGCTCTCCCACTAGACCACGAAGGCGGTTGCCAGGGTGGGAGAAATATATTAAAAGTTTTATAAGAGTGAGTGAGTGAGTGAGTGAGTATGGTTTTACGCCGCTTTTAGCAATATTCCAGCAATATCACGGCGGGGGGACACAAGAAATGGGCTTCACACATTGTACCCATGTCGGGAATCGAACCCGGGTCTTCGGCGTGACGAGCGAACGCTTTAACCACTAGGCTACCCGACCGCCCCTTTTATAAGACGTACACTGCTTGTTTCGAAGCACATGAACGTTTCTGTTAATAAATATGGCCCAAACAAACAAACCGTTCAGATTTCATGATTGCTTACGAGACATTCAGCTTTAAAAACTCAGTGTCTCATTTGATAACTCCGGATGCATTCTTAATGGTCACACTTTTCGATAGAGACGGGGGTCACAAAATTCATCCGCGAGTCCAAACGACACAATGTACGATTACTTCGTATGTGAAGGCCATATTGACGGCTGTTGACGTGACGTAAAAAGGATCTTAGTCGGAGCCAGTCGGGGACTCGAACCAACCACTAGGATATCCTAACAGATAACAACTAAGGGAGGCAACTCTGCACAACTATTAGAATTTAGACCTTCGAGCAACTTGTCCAACCGCGCCCTTTAAATCACAATGTATTGGCGCGTTGGGAGTCGAACGTGGACATACATATAGGTGAGAAGCGTACGCGTTATCCTTTGGGCTAATTTACATATCCGTAGCGAGGTAACGTTTGCAGGCGTAAACGTTGGATCAGTAAGTCCGAACCGGGGTATTTCTATGTGACGAGCGAACACGTTATCCACAGGACCACCCCGAACACACACCTACCCCCCCCCCCCCCCCCCACACACACACACACACACCCACACCCAACCACACACACCCAGGACTGTATACCCGGCATGACGTGTTTAGTGTTAATCATTTCTCTGTATTGTGCTCGGTGTGACACTGGTAGCGTTCAGCCTTTTGCAAGAGGACAAGCGTTAACATTGATGTGGATGTTGTTACAGTTGACGCGCCCTGCAGGTGAGGCACTTCTTACTTCAAACTTCTTACTTAGTTTATCTTCCAATATGAGTAAGTATATACAGGTGTGCATGAGGTTCAAGTCATCAAAGTTTGTTTTATTGTACGTGAGTGTTTGGCTAAATCTTTTACGTTACAGATCAGATACTTGTATTAAGCAGCGCCTAGTGGTGTACTGGATAGCGCGTCAGTCCAATCCACGTTAAAAGATGGTACTTGTTGTTACCCTGCCTTCTGGCGCATAAGGGGAATAATATATTAAGGGGACTGGTCGACTTTGACTATGAGAGAGAGAGAGAGAGAGAGAGAGAGACGATCCATCCCCTTAAAGTCGAGCGGCAGGCAGGGTAAAACAAGTACCATCTTTTAACGTCGTTTCGACTTGACGCGGTCGGGTATCGAACCAGCGATTTAGTGTCTAACTAAGCCCACGGAGTCGGTCCAACTGTGATGGAATTATGTTGGCTTTGAACGTCGCTGTCAACAGTGTTTTCACTGGTTTATCACAGCGTATTAGCCTCACATAGGAGAAAGCTGCCAAAACAAGGATACAAATTTGGACGTTTTAATCAGCGGATAATGCTACGGAAAAGGGACACAAAGTGCGAGTTTGGACCAGACAATCCAGTGATTGATATCAGGAGCATCGGTCCACGCAATTGGGATACGATGACATGTATCAACCAAGTCAGCGAGCCTGACCACCCGATCCCGTTGGTCGCCTCTAACGACAAGCATAGTCGCCTTTTACTGCAAGCATGGGTTGCTGAAGACCTATTCTACCCCGGATCTTCACGGGTCTATGGTAAGATAGATAGTACCTGATGCTGAAGCAGCAAACATATGTTTTTTTCTACTGGAAAGTGCAAAGAAATGTCATATATCCAGTTATTTTGTTATTAAATATTGTTATATTAAATATTTCAGATAAACATGACTTCTTTTGGATTGTGAAACATAATCTGAATAAGAAATGACGCCAGGAAAGGAGTTCGCTCTTCTTGTGGTATTCCTACTTTCGTCTATCCATGGTAAGTGATTTGTAACAAGCGTCCATGGCTATTTACGCATTTCTGAAATAGCCACATTTTGATATCTCTGACTGCATCGTTCTCTCTTAAAACAAATAGCAACTAAATTGACAAAACATACACACTTAAAGCATCGGTATATTTTCAAAACTGCATTTTTGGTTCTTTTAACCATCAAATATTCACACGTTCTTTACTATGCTGTATAACTTGAGTACAGTGTGTTACACAGACTCCCTGTGGGACAGTGACAAATCCTGATGAGGACGTTTTGTTTAATAGTCCTTTTCCTATTCGTAAGGGCGGTCGGGTAGCCTAGTGGTTAAAGCGTTCGCTCGTCACGCCGAAGACCCGGGTTCATTTCACGACATGGGTACAATGTGTGAGGCCCATTTCTGGTGTCCCCCGCCGTGATATTGCTGGAATATTGCTAAAAGCGGCGTAAAACCATACTAACTCACTATTCCTATTTTTCATTCGGCCAAACAATCCAAGTTTTACTTCCGACCCTTAGTTGTGAAAGATACCCCCAGCAAGTTCGAACACTCGCCCTGAACACCACAGTACCAGAGATGCGGAAGTTCAACTTTTATAATAATATAAAACTTGTGCGAAGAGGATATGCTGAAGTGGCTGTATTCAGTGATTATTTTATTCAGTACGTCTCTGAATATTTATGATTACTTTTGGATAAAAACGTTAAAACGTAATCAACATTCTAGAGGGGACAAAGGTTAAGTTGGATGTTTTCACTCAACCGACTTCCAGGAAGTTGTAAACAGATGTGAACAGATGTAAACATATGAAACCTCACGTAAACAGATATAAACATATGTAATCAGATATAAACAAATGTAATCAGATATAAACAAATGTAAATAGATGTGAACAAACGTATTCCGATGTTAACATATATATGCAGATGAAAACGGATGTAACCAAATACATTTAGATGTAAAACATGTAAACAAATGTATTCAGATGGAAACAAATGTATTCAGATGTAAATAAATGTATTCAGATGCAAAAGATGTAAACAAATGTATTCAGATGCAAAAGATGTAAACAAATGTATTCAGATGCAAACAAATGTATTCAGATGTAAACAAATGTATTCAGATGTAAACAGATATTCAGATGTAAACAAATGTATTCAGATATAAACAAATGTATTCAGATGTAAACAAATGTATTCAGATGTGAAATCAAAAATTATTTCTGAGGAATTCTTTGACGAAGAACTTGAAATCATACGCGCATTCTGATTGGTTTGTCGTATTTTCGCACATAACATTCATCGATAGGGGGACGAGTCACCTTGCAGGTAGGTTACTGAAAGGGGCGAGTGTTAACGAACGGGTTCTGGCGCAATAACTGGTTTTCCGACCTCGATTATCCAGTGTAGGTCCATCCTTTGTTGATAAATACCCCCGACCTGCTCCCATTGCTTCTGTTTGGCTGTCCAATCAAATTACTCTCACGAGCGAGAAGAATAAGTTTGAGAAGAAAAACGATGGGATAACGACAGAAAACCAAGGACTGTCCGGCTCGGAATTCGTCAGTCTGGACGGGGTATCCTTGTTAAACTGCGGCATGGTATCTCAGTGTCCGGCTTGGAATCCGTCAGTCTGGACGGGGTGTCCATGTTAAACTGCGGCATGGTATCTCAGTGTGCGGCTTGGAATCCGTCAGTCTGGACGGGGTATCCATGTTAAACTGCGGCATGGTATCTCAGTGTGCTTGCACTATCATACCAGTGACTTGGTCATTTACATATTATTCATCAGTACTTATGACCTATATGACCAAAAATTAAGTTCGTAATATCCGTCAGTTCGTTATAAACGTATTTTACTGTAGATACAAATCCGAAAGCAATAATTCGTCTTTAATGTCATGAAAGTTATTTATTCGTCCATATCAACTCGTCACCATAATTTCAAACATTGTCATGAAGTTGAGAAAAAAAATCATGTAATTGTTGGGTTTCAATGCCTGTTGTTACAAGGGGGTCTGCGCAATAAACGTAACAGCTGAATGGCGTCGCACACAGGGATAGTATCAAAACTTCTATTCTGGAATATTTTTTTTATTGTCACTGTCACTGTTACTGTCAACTGAAATAATGATTTGACTGACAGTTGCATGATCTAGCAATACCAAGAACATCACGAACATTGCTTTGAAAATATTTTCATATTTCTCATTGTATATTCCGTTCAATAACTATTTCAGAAAGACACACTTCCAGTTTAAACTTCTCATTTGACAGGATTTTATAACAGAAAAGACAGCAATTGGGTGGCCTAACACGTACGAATTTCACGTGCAGGGCTATTCAGTTTACAGTGCAGACCCCCTTGTGACATAAACGCCAACAATTACACGAGTGTTTGCTAAACAACCTTTTCTCTCTCTTCATGACAATGTCTGAAATTATGGGGATCAGTTGGTATGGACAAATAAATAACTTTCATGCCATTTAAGACGAATTGTTGCTTTCGGGTTTATATTTATTTTGCATTTCATCTGTACGACTTTTTAGCAAACGGACATCAGCTGGTGTAAGCCAATTACTTTATCCCTTGTTAGTACAGTGCTGGCTTCGGGCTTACCTCCCACAATAAGCTGACACGCCGTGATATAACTGGAATACTGTTAAAAGCGGCGTTAAACCCAACTCACTCACTCACTCACTAGTGCGGGAAATCTGGGATAGGTTATGTCCAAAAAATAAGGGTAATTCATCCCAGTGAAACATACTTAAGTGGAAATAGGAAAATGTATCCTAGGATAATTTCCCGAACTTGAATCAGTGAATTATACTATGACACTTCCTTTGTGCATGCATGGCATGCTGTCAAAAATAAAATGTTGTCTTTCCTTGAATTCATTGTTCAAATGTAAAAATTCACAAGGGAGAATCACCCTGACACTAGAGAATTTCATCCCCGGGGATAAAAAAACATGTAGACACTCGTGAGTCGTGAAATCTCTTGTTTACATTTTATAGATTCCATGAATAGAAATGTATAGGTGAGGTGAAATGGGGTTTAATGTCGCGTGTAATATTACTGCACTTATATAGCGACGTGCATGTACGTGTGCGTGTTTGCGTGGCTGCTTGTACTAGTCCGAACCGATGCCGATTTATAGTGCTAGCTCACTGAGATACCATTCCGCAGTTTAACATGAATACCCCACTCAGACACAGTATACCGACTCCGAGCCGACCACGAAGGCGGTCTATATATATACTCACCGCCAAAAGAAACGCGAATATCATACATCTTGGTTGATATATAAGGTTAGTGAGTGAGTATGTTTTACGCCGCTTTTAGCAATATTCCAGCGATATCACGGCGGGGGACACCAGAAATGGGCTTCACACATTGTACCCATGTCGGGAATCGAACCCGGGTCTTCGGCGTGACGAGCGAACGCTTTAACCACTGGGCTACCCGACCGCCCCTGATATATAAGGACTTACTCTTATTCAAGAAGTATTAGATTGTTTCAATGCATGGGTGTGAACCTGTGCATCACATGTGACGTCATAGATCCATGACTCGAGGTGCACCATTTGTCTCGTGCAGGTTTAGCGTGTAAAGTTTGGAAATCACGTGCAGCATATCGTGATAAGAATAAAGAAACTCTGTGGTGACACTTGACAGATTGTTAGTTTTGTCATTAAGTAGGAATTGGAAACATATCTTCTCAACGTACATGCTTTTCTATGTGTTTCTATGGTTCGCGTTTCTTTTGGTGGTGAGTATATAGTTTTGCTTTCAAGAAGGTACCCAGTGCCACACAAGACAATCTTTGTGTCGTCAAAGACGGAAGGTACCACACATGGCGATCCACACGAATTCAACTTTAGTTGATTAGAATACTTACATCAACTAGAAGAAGTATTGTGTTATGACAGTCAGAATGATATACATGTGATATTGAACCGAGCTGTGTAAATATTGCACGTGCTGCAGATGTGAAGGGCGAGTGCGTGGACAACAACAGCCAGTGTGACTACTGGGCGAGCGTGGACGAGTGCCTCATCACCCCCGCCTACACGATGTGCCAGTGCAAGAAGGCCTGCAACGAACCCAGCACCTGTGACCGTGAGTAGACGGAGTCAGAACGCAGTCGTAGAAGTGTACACAGGCGGGGAGGGGAGAGTGGTGCGTGTGCGTGCGTGCGTGCGTGCGTGCGTGCGTGTGCCTTTTGCGCGTGTGTGTGCGTTCGTGCGTACGTGTACGTCTGTGTGTATGCGCATGTGCGCGTGTGTCTGTGTGTGCGTGCGTTCGTGCGTGCGTGTGCGTGTGCGCGCGCGTGTTTAAAAAAGCAAATGTACTATAGTAAGTTATAGACCATGTAGCCGTTGACACCTGTACATACGTAGGGCACATTGTAACGTCACATTGTGTTTGATATTTGTGCATAAAATATTTGTGAAAAAAATCATTATTCTGATTTCATAGCCACAAGTTCGAACGACACGAGGTGTGAATGTCGAAGTTTGGCCCTCCAAGGCCAATGCAGCATCCCGGCGATCAGGGCAGACTGCAGCACAACCTGCGACCACAGAGACCGTAAGTTATACATCTACTGCTCCGTACAAACTGTCTGCACTCTCCTTTATAACACAGTGTTTCAACCGATCTGTCAGGGCGCACTGCAGAGGCCGTAAGTTGTCAATCTACTGCTCCGTACAAACTGTCTGCACTCTCCTTTATAACACAGTGTTCCAGCCGATCTGTCTGTGCGAACTGCCGCACAGAGACCGTAAGTTGCCAATCTACTGCTCCGTACAAACTGTCTGCACTCTCCTTTATAACACAGTGTTTCAACCGATCTGTCAGGGCGCACTGCAGAGGCCGTAAGTTGCCAATCTACTGCTCCGTACAAACTGTCTGCACTCTCCTTTATAACACAGTGTTTCAACCGATCTGTCAGGGCGCACTGCAGAGGCCGTAAGTTGTCAATCTACTGCTCCGTACAAACTGTCTGCACTCTCCTTTATAACACAGTGTTCCAGCCGATCTGTCAGTGCGAAATGCCGCACAGAGACCGTAAGTTGCCAATCTACTGCTCCGTACAAACTGTCTGCACTCTCCTTTATAACACAGTGTTTCAACCGATCTGTCAGGGCGCACTGCAGAGGCCGTAAGTTGCCAATCTACTGCTCCGTACAAACTGTCTGCACTCTCCTTTATAACACAGTGTTTCAACCGATCTGTCAGGGCGCACTGCAGAGACCGTAAGTTGCCAATCTACTGCTCCGTACAAACTGTCTGCACTCTCCTTTATAACACAGTGTTTCAACCGATCTGTCAGGGCGCACTGCAGAGACCGTAAGTTGCCAATCTACTGCTCCGTACAAACTGTCTGCACTCTCCTTTATAACACAGTGTTTCAACCGATCTGTCAGGGCGCACTGCAGAGACCGTAAGTTGCCAAATTTACTGCTCCGTACAAACTGTCTGTATAACATTCAATACTCCGTACAATACGTCTGGGCCAGTTACGCAGTATGAACGAAAATAACGCGGTTGAAACGGAGGTATAAGCGGAAGTTAGGATCGTGAGGTAATTGCGAAATTATGTCCTATAGAAATACCCTCTTGGGGTATATTGTCCTTCGTAGTCTATCTCCCAGACCCTAGATAATGGATTTAGAACTTGATCTAGAATGATTTGGCAAGTCTAGATTTTCCCCATCATTGTTCTGGGCTCCATTTGGATTACAGTAAACTACGGTTATAACGAACTCAAAGGGACCTCTAAATTTAGTTCGTAATAACCGTAGTTCGTTATAAGCATATATACGGCATATACACTTGTATACCAGAAATGGCCGGAACAAAAAAATAAGTTCGTTATATCGGTCTGTTCGTTATAAACGTAGTTTACTGTATATGTTTTTTATTTTGTAGATGTATATGTTTGAATATTATAACTATATTTCTGGGACTAAATGTTAGTCTGCGTACTTCGGCATATACGTTACTTCGAGATAATGGAAGGCGTCAGTACCAACGTTTAACCGATGTATTTTTATCCGATTTCTAGGATTGGAATGCTTAGATGCACCTAGCTTTGATCATGCGCACACGGTCCCTATAAAGAGTAAATACTTCTTCCTCGACACCGTCAACTACGATTGCGACGAAGGCTACTACAACGTCGGCTCTAAGCCTGCCTTGGTGTGCAACGAGACTGCGCAGTGGAAGTACGCTCGCAGGGTCACCTACCCCGACTGTATACGTACGTATGTGACAACCTCGATTGTGTTCAGAATAGCCTCCACGTTCTTAACCTTTTGGCACAGCACAGAGATCAAAAACACTGGTATGACAATTGTTGAAATGTGTTTAGCCTTGAAGTAGGTTTCAGACAACTGAAACAAATTTTAAACCAATATGTAATGGTAATTCCATTTTTCGAAAGGTTATCTTTCTTTACTAAAAGATTTGACCTGAAGAGCGAACTAGAACTCCAATGAAGCTGATGTATAATGGAATCTGTATAAACTAGACCGCTGTCTTAACCATAAATTCCTGTCTCAGGTCTAAATCGGATTTAAGTCCCTGTCTCAGGTCTAAACCGGATTTAAGTCCCTGTCTCAGGTCTAAACCGGATTTAAGTCCCTGTCTCAAGTCTAAACCGGATTTAAGTCCCTGTCTCAGGTCTAAACCGGATTTAAGTCCCTGTCTCAGGTCTAAACCGGATTTAAGTCCCTGTCTCAGGTCTAAACCGGATTTAAGTCCCTGTCTCAAGTCTAAACCGGATTTCAGTCCCTGTCTCAAGTCTAAACCGGACTTAAATCCCTATCTCAAGTCTAAACCGGACTTAAGTCCCTGTCTCAAGTCTAAACCGGATTTAAGTCCCTGTCTCAAGTCTAAACCGGATTTAAGTCCCTGTCTCAAGTCTTAACCGGATTTAAGTCCCTGTCTCAAGTCTAAACCGCATTTTAGTCCCTGTTTCAAGTCTAAACCGGACTTAAATCCCTGCCTCAAGTCTAAACCGGACTTAAATCCCTGTCTCGTCTCAAGTCTAAACAGGTCCCACGCAAGTCCAGTTTAGACGCACTTGCACTATTTCTGGGCGGCACTGGTGGCCCAAAGGATTAAGTTGACTCAGCTGTTTGTACAGAGTTTCGTCCCTTGTGTCAGGGTCCGTTTATCGTTGATTTGAATCTAACAACTCGTCCCGATTAGGATCGTTGGTCTGCACCACATCCGGGTCATTTATTGCACAAGTAGTGAACGTTTCCGCGTTGAGTTGAGACGCTTGAAAATACTTTTTATATCGGCGTCAAACAAGTCACGTTTTGTAAACTATTTGCAGTGATAGAATGTACATCTCCCCCAACTCTTGCGCATGCATCATGGGAAGGATCTTCCTTTGACTACAACAACTCAGTAGTGTACACCTGCGAACTTGGGTACGAGGCTGCAGCCGGAAATGACGTCAGAACATGTAACTCCAGCAAGATGTGGTCGGGCGACGACCTCGTGTGTGAAAGTAAGCATTGATTTGACTTTCAGTTTCTTTAAGGGTGCAGCGGGTAGCCCAGTGGTTAATGTATTATTTCATCACGGAGATAAGTCGGCTCATCGACCCATATTCTCTTTGTTTCGCTGGCGCAATAACGTCATTTTTTGCGGCGTAAGATACCTACAGAACCAGTTAAACACGATATGTGTGTTTATTGTGTGTGTTTATCAGGCAATGTCATGGCCACTCTATCCAACAAAATGGAGGGGGCAAGGGTTGCCCAGTCGGCCCCGCGATTCGCTGTGAAACCTATGATTGTTGGTTCGAATCCCGGTTCACCCCGATTATGTTTCTAGGTTTGTCAGGACCATACCCTTGCTCGTGGGTTTCACCGAAGTGGTAAACGTCTGAGGCCGGCATCACTTCGGGCTTTCCTCCAACATTAAGCTGACACGCCGTGATATAACTGGAATGCTGTTAAAATCGGCGTTAAACCCAACTCACTCCAACAAAATGAAACGGGCACTATGTAGAAGATATCCAAACCTTACTTTAATTTAATCAGAATTGAAGATTTGTTGAAACCCTCTGTATCCAAATATTGGGATAACGTATGCAACCAGACTTTGACATTCACATTTTGCGTTTGCGCATTGCACCTGCAGTGCTTGTTCTACTAACGTTTCGTGTCTACTCTGACCACCTTCGCAGTCTAGTGGTAGAGCGTCCGCCCGGAGAGCGGAAGGTCCGGGGTTCGATCCCGGCCGCGATATACCAAAAGACGTTATAATATGGTACTTGTTGTTACCTTGTCTGGCGCTCGCCATTAAGGGGCTAAATAAGGACTGGTCGGCTCGGAGTCAGTATCCTGTGTCTGAGTGGGGTATTCATGTTAAACTGCGGCATGATATCTCAGTGGGCTAGCACTATAAATCGGCATCAGTCCGGACTAGTACAAGCAGCCACACAAACACGTGCATGCACGTCGCTATATATAAGTGCAATAATCTTGGACGCGACGTTAAACCCCCATTTCATCTTCACCTCGTGTCTACTCTCTCCCCAGGAGTGACCTGCGGCGACCCGCCCCCTTTCCAACACGCCGTCGTGACCTTCAACCTCGTGGAGGCGACGTACACGTGCGACACCGGGTACAAAGCCAGGACGCCATCAGCTGTCAAACTGTGCTCCGTCTACGGCAACTGGACGGGGCCGGATCTCGAGTGTACACGTGAGATATCTTACATTCAGAAATACAATGAAATTGAGGATTTGATAAGACATATTTTCATTTTTTTGTGATATGATAAAATATATGAGATCGGTCTTAAAGATAGAAAATAACGAACGTGTTATTCCAGGATGTACAGGTATCAAATGATGCTTTGCACCTCAAAAGATATTTTCATATTTTCATTGAAAAAACAATTTCTGTTGTATATTACTTCCGGCAACGTGGGGGGCACGGTTGGCCTAGTTGTCTCAGGCGCCGCAATTCGCTGTGCAGAGTTGCGTCCCTTGGGCATGTCAGCAACCTATGATCGTGGGTTCGAATCCCGGTTCGCCCCGGAGGTTTCATCAAGGTGGAACCATCTGAGACCTGCATCACTTCGGGCTTTCCTCCCACATTAGGCTTGGCAGGTCGTAATTTAACTGGAATACTGTTAAAAGCGGCCTTAAACCCAACACACTCACTCACTCTGAAAAAGTTATCCAGGGAAGCTGAGGTGAATACGAAAGGAGAAAAACGAAATGTGATGACGTTTTTCATTAATGACATTGCGAATTCAGGAATCCATTAGATTGCTTTTTTTGATAAATTAATGTTTTTATTTGACGTTTCAACGACAAGAGTTCTACCATGACACTGAAGAATGCTTGATTTTGACTTGTCATAATCAGATATCTAATTCCATTCGATACCTCAGAACCAACAAGCCTTTTAACACAAAAACTTGCAATTGGTTCCATATTAAAATAGTGAGTAAGTGAGTTAAGTTTAAACGCCGCTTTTAACATTATTCCAGTTATATAGCGGCGTGTCAGCTTAATGTGGGAGGAAAGCCCGAAGTCATGCAGGTCTCAGACGTTTACCACTTCGGTGAAACCCACGAACACGGGTTATGGGTGGCTGAAAAACCTAGAAACATATTCGGGGCGAACCGGGATTCGAACTCACAACCATAGGTTTCTGGCGTGCCAGCGAATCGCGGCGCCTTAGACGACTGGGCCGGCCACCCGTGTCCCCCATATTAAAATAAGAGGTATGGAATCTGTTGTAAGACCGCCTCAACTTTCAAAACACAGTAGGGTTTTCTCCCAATTCTGCCTACTATTTTAGTTATATCCTGTGGTGACCCCCCGACCTTGAACAACACGGGAGTGATGAATGTCAACACCACCTTTCGGTCAGAGGCGATGTACACGTGTTCAAAGGGACATAACTCTGTTGGGGGAGAGGCGATAAAGGTGTGCGCGGAGAACGCGTCGTGGACGGGATCGGACCTTGTTTGTGAAGGTGAGTGTCCTTGACCTACTGGATGTTTGGTCAATCCCAAGGTTACGGGAAGCAGTGTGAGGACAACGTGAGTGAGTGAGTATGGTTTTACGCCGCCTTTAGCAATATTCCAGCAATATCACGGCGGGGGACATGTCGGGAATCGAACCCGGGTCTTCGGCGTGACGAGCGAACGCTTTAACCACTAGGCCATCCGACCGCCCCTGAACATTGTGAAAGTTTTAGACGATGTAACTGTATGGTACGGGAGGAATCCTAACTCCCTAACTTAACGACATTTTACTGTACTTATCACTTTTTTCTGAATAAATAGTAGGTAATGACAGATGATTAAGCTTAATTTAAACCATATTCATGTCCTGTGAAAATGATTAATGTTCTGGTGTGAAACAGTTGTGACTATTACCAATAATACCAGTGGCGATATGGCTGAGACACTGAGACAACTGCTGACACCATCCGTCGCTATATCACCGAAAGCTAACACTGTCCCCCGCCGTGATATTGCTGGAATATTGTTAAAAGCGGCGTAAAACCATACTCACTCACTCACTGTCTGTCCCTATATGGCCGAGATTTACTGATACCACGTGTAAAACCAGAGACCAATCATATTCCTTGCAGCTGTAAGCTGCGGGCCTCCTATTGACGTGGAGAACACTGAGTGGTCGGCCCAGCTCCACATCTACCAATCAGAAGCCGCATACAACTGTGTGGTTGGGTATGAACAGACGGGTGGACATGGCGTCAAGGTTTGCATGGAGACGGGGGCGTGGGACGGGAACGATCTGCAATGTGAAGGTGAGCGCCAAGTAGACAATATGGACATCTCGCAACATATATAATCTGAAAGTGGGGACTATAGTACGACCATTAGAAACGAAAGGTCTAGGTCAACATTTAATCTTTAGGTCACCACATTAAGAACCCTGAACCACTGACACACCGTGATATTGCTGGAATATTGCTGAAGCAATGTGAGTGAGTATGGTTTTACGCCGTTTCAGCAATATTCCAGCAATTTACGGCAGTAGACCCCAGAAATTGGCCTCACACATTGAACCCGTGTTACAAACCGAACACGGATCTTCGTCGTGACGAGCGAACGCTTTAACAACTGGGCTACCGCACCGCCCTGTATCTAAGAAGAAATATTCGGCTTTATTTCCCATAGGTTTAGAAATAACCGAAGTCTTAAAAATCGTAGGTGCACTAGTGCAAATATCACTTCTCGCACACCAGTGTATTGGTTTCGTCATCCGGGCGGCATTGATGACGTCATTCGAATCTTATTGTGACGTAAGTTCGGAATGACGTCACACTAGAAACGATGCGAGGAGGAGGAGAAGAGATATACGCCATGAGTGAGAATATCTCTTTTTCCTTTTTACACCGTCACGCGATGAGAGAAACATGATATTTCACTCGTCATGATATGTCGTATAATGTAACGTCATGATAAGCTGTATAATGTGATGTGTCGTATTCACTAAAGAATATAGTATAATTCAATCCATCGATGTAACCTAATCTTGAACCTCATAAAACAAAAGTGTCACCTGGGTACAGTAGGACCAGAGGACCAGACCCGTGAAGATCCGGGGTAGCATAGGTCTTCAGCAACCCATGGTTGCCATAAAAGGCGATTATGCTTGTCGAAAGAGGCGAATAACGGGATCGGGTGGTCAGGCCCGCTGACTTGGTTGATGCATGTCATCGTATCTCAATTGCGCGGATCGATGCTCATGATGTCATACACTGGATTGTCTGGTCCAGGCTCGATTATTTACAGACCGCCGTCATATAGCTGGAATATTGCTGAGTGTGGCAATAAACAACAAACAAACAAATAAACAAACAAGAGGGCCATCACCTCTGAATCCGCATGAAGGCCCTTAACGATCGGTGCTGTTCTTACGTCATCGTCAATACTCCCCGGGTTTGTACACACGTTCCCCCATCACCCGCGAACACATACAGCTGCCATACAGTATCGTCGCCGTGTTTAACCAGCAAATCGAGCCAAAGATGCCGTTGTTGTCACCGTGTCTCCCTTCTACAATCGGCAACATTTCTCTTGCAATATGTGCCACAGACTTGTACACATCCACGGTACACACCAACTGTACACATCCACTGTACACATCCACTGTACACATTATTACACCACCAGGCAGCGGAACATCCTCTATATCTCTAGGGCTCGCATTTCGGTAAACCACAGATACCCCTAGATCCATTTCCGTGGTTTTTGCGATCGCAAATTACCGCCCTTGATTCTCAACATTTTATCGATCAAACGTCGACATAAGGGAAAGGGTAAGGGAGGTAACTCGTATTATCTAGAAACTAAAGCCATCGCCAGTTTTAATGGACATGGAGACACCCTTTTCATCCAAGGATGTTTTAGGGCTTTCTTTTGCGTGTCAGTCAGTTTTTCAACGTTGATTTTCTCGCAGACTCCATCATAACCAATGGGACTGGCAAACCCCACATGGATTGTAACTCGCATTCTGATTGGTACGTTAGAGCTAGTATTGTAGCCAATCAAATTGGCAAATTGAAATCAAGGGCGGGTAATTTGAGATTGCGAGAACCAGGGCTTAGTGTAGAATTATGTGAAATGTGAGCCCTGGGGATATAGAGGAGGGCAGCGGAAGGGTTCGCAGTAAGTCTGGAAAAGGACTCATGTCATTAGCATACTAAATATAGACACGCGTCACCATAACATCGCACAACGGCCGTATGTACAATCGGGTGATAGAAGAACGTAGGGGAAAACAAAACCTGTAACGTCATGACTATGTCTGTCCAATTCGCGTAGTGGGTAGAGCTCTGCACGGAGACCGGAAGGTCCGTGGTTTGTCCTCCGCCCGCGTCATACCAAAATACGTTAAAATATGGTACTTTTTGTTGCCCTGCCTAACGCTCGGCATTAAGGGGCTAAAACAAGGACTGGTCGGCTCGGAGTCAGTATTTTGTTTCTGTGTGTGGTGTTCATGTTAAACTGCGTCATGGAATCTGGGTGGGCTAGCACTAAAAAATTTAGCATTAGTCCGGACTGTTACACACGCGCACGTGCATGCACGTCGCTATATAAGTGCAATATTCTTGAACGCGACGTTAAACCCCATTTCACCTTATTTCCTAACATAGTTATCCTCTCACAAAAGTGGGGGCACGGGTGGCCCAGTCGTCTAAGGCGCCGCGCTGCGCTGTGCAGAGTTGCGTCCCTTGGGCACGCCAGACACCTATGATCGTGGGTTCGAATCTCGGTTCGCCTCAATTATGTTTCTCGGTGTGTCAGCACCATACCCGTGCTCGTGGGTTTCACCGAAGTGGTAAACGTCTGAGACCTGCATCACTTTGGGCTTTCCTCCCACATTAAGCTGACACGCCGCGATACAACTGGAATACTGTTAAAAGCGGCGTTAAACCCAACTCACTCACTCACTCACTCTTACCAAAGCTTTAACACAACATATAACATGTGTCTTCAGTCAGACGTTGTGGTACTCCGCCATTGGTAGCCAACGCTGACGTCACGAACACCAACGACACCTATCTCTCTGAGGCCAGCTACACGTGCAAAACAGGCTATAACCGCACCGGAGGTGACGTCACCAAGTCATGTGACCAGACAAGCAGCTGGCAAGGGTCCGATATCGTGTGTACAGGTAATCATTGGGATGTAACCGGCGTTTATACATTCTCCTCATGTTACTCATGAAATATTGAAGAACTCAGTTAAACATATTTCCTCGATTAAACACCTTCCTCGAATAAACACCTTCCTCGAATAAACGCAGGGTATCGATTAACGGACGGAATTCTCTTCATTATTATTTTCGCGATTAAACGTCGGGGACAAAGAGTGTCTCAAAGGAATATACACACGGGAGTTTAATTGAGAAAATACGGCAGTTAAGATTTAAATAGTTAGGCATCGTTGGCATATACCGTAAATGTTCAAACAATCGTTTCACTGAAGATTAATTAACGTGGCATTGCCTGTTAATATATTTCGGATCTCACTTCAAAATTTGTGACCTCACAGACATACACGTAGGCTATATCTGTGTTATATGGGCACAAGTGTTAAATATAATCTCACATCCAATTAATAGTGTTTGTGTGTTTGTTTGTTTGCTGTTGAACACCGCTCTCAGCAATATTCCAGCTATATGACGGAGGTATGTAAATAATCGAGCCCAAACAATCCTGTGATTGATATCATGATCATCGATCTACGCAATTGGGATAGGATGACATGCATCAACCAAGTCAGCGAGCCTGACCACCCGATCCCGTTAGTCGCTTCTTACGACAAGCATAGTCGCCTTTTACGGATCATGGGTTGCCTATTCTAACCGGGTCCCACGGGTCCCAATTCTTAGCGTGTGGGGGACTTTCGTTTAAGGACGATTGGAACATTATTTCAGTGGTGTCATGGCTTGTCAATTGACGTGGAAGCGAAATCAGAAGTGTTGCATATCTTGGACGTTTACCACTTTTTTGAAACCGTTATCTGGGTTTCCAACCTAAGATGATAGGTTTCTGGCCTGCCAAAGGGACGCAACTCTGCATTGCGAATTATGGCTCTTTAGATAACAGGGCTCACTTGCACAAAGCGAACTTAGCGCTAAGATGACTCCTATACTTTAACATAGGCTTGCGATAATCTTAGCACTAAGATGGCTTTGTGCAAGTGGGTTACTCGTGCTTCTTACTCAGTTTATAGATTCTGGAAAAATCGTGTTTTTAGTTGCAAAATACTTTGTAAGATAACAAGCCAACCGTTCTCCTGCAGCCGTGGATTGCAGCATCCCACCCAGTGTGCCCAACACCGACAGGGTCTACACCAACACCACCTACCGGTCTATTGCAGAGTATAGCTGTCTCAAGGGATATAACTCTTCCATGACCAATTGGACCATCACCTGCAACGAGACAACAGAATGGGTGGGCGCCCTACCGACGTGTTATAGTAGGTATCATTATCAACCTAACCGGTTCAATCTAAATTCATCTTCGAGTGTTTGCGGACTTTATTCTTTATTTCTTTGCTTCTATTTGAGTCCGTTTCGATTGACAATAGCCGTCTTATCACATTACCTGTTCTTCCTGTCTGTCCTTGAAACGAGCGGCGATATCACACTGCACGTCTTGTTGCATGCCGTATCCATGACATCTTGGAACGCCTGATAGCATGACGACCCCCGATTAGTATTCACACGCACATGCCCTAGCGTCAGTGTGTACGTCTACATAGACCCCTACAGGAAATACAGTTATAGCGTCCTAGCGTCAGTGTGTACGTCTACATAGACCCCTACAGGAACTAGAGGTATAGCGTCCTAGCGTCAGTGTGTACGTCTACATAGACCCCTACAGGAGACCCCTACAGGAACTACAGGTATAGCGTCCTAGCGTCAGTGTGTACGTCTACATAGACCCCTACAGGAACTAGAGGTATAGCGTCCTAGCGTCAGCGTGTACGTCTACATAGACCCCTACAGGAGACCCCTACAGGAACTACAGGTAGAGCGTCCTAGCGTCAGTGTGTACGTCTACATAGACTCCTACAGGAACTACAGGTATAGCGTCCTAGCGTCCGTGTGTACGTCTACATAGACCCCTACAGGAACTACAGGTATAGCGTCCTAGCGTCAGTGTGTACGTCTACATAGACCCCTACAGGAACTACAGACATAGCGTCCTAGCGTCAGCGTGTACGTCTACATAGACCCTACAGGAACTACAGGTATAGCGTCCTAGCGTCAGCGTGTACGTCTACATAGACCCTACAGGAACTACAGGTATAGCGTCCTAGCGTCCGTGTGTACGTCTACATAGACCCCTACAGCAACTACAGGTATAGCGCCCTAACGTCAGCGTGTACGTCTACATAGACCCCTACAGGAACTACAGGTATAGCGTCCTAGCGTCAGTGTGTACGTCTACATAGACCCCTACAGGAACTACAGGTATAGCGTCCTAGCGTCAGTGTGTACGTCTACATAGACCCTACAGGAACTACAGGTATAGCGTCTTAGCGTCAGTGTGTACGTCTACATAGACCCCTACAGGAGACCCCTACAGCAACTACAGGTATAGCGCCCTAGCGTCAGTGTGTACGTCTACATAGACCCCTACAGGAAATACAGGTTTAGCGTCCTGGCGTCAGTGTGTCACGTGTTCATGCATGTATTTCAGTTATTGACTGCAACAGTCCACGGGAAGTAGCGATGGCTGACGTCACAGTGCGGGGAACCACCTACCAATCAGAAGCGACCTATACGTGTAACCAGGGATATAACTTGGTGGGCGGAAGCAGCAAGAAGACATGCGCAGACACTGGTCACTGGGAGAGTGCCGACTTCAGCTGTGAAAGTATGTGTGATTATACGTTACAGAGTTACATTTGCTCTCTATTCGGTATTTTTATTTTGGCGCAAATGTAAAAGAAAATTATAATATTTGTCCAAAATCAACACAAAATCTGTGGCGATTTCAGGCCCACCAAGGTAAACTACTAAGGTGTGTTAAAAACCATTGAAATGGATACTATTTGTCTATTTAACACACAAAATAGCTGGTTTGAGTACGAGTGGACAATGTTTTCAGGAAACGACGAGAATCAATCAAGCTGTTGCTGACTCGACGTTTTCTGAACACATTGTCATGCGCGCAACCCAGAGAATATGTTTAGTGTGCAAAATCTTCTCATATTTCTGATAATTGATATTTTAGTGTTGCAGATAATAATAACTGTTTAATCTGCGTATCAACTAGGATTTTGTTTGCGTCCCGCGTACCACACTGCTGAGTCCCGAATACAGCAACCTGTGAGATTATCACACCTCATCCAGAGTACACCATCTTCACAACTTCCCCCTGGGTGCGCTCAGGTGTTCGCAACTCCCATACCTTAACATGGACCTGACCCGTGAAGATCCGGAGTAGAATAGGTCTTCAGCAACCCATGCTTGCCGTAAAAGGTGACTATGCTTGTCGTAAAAGGCGACTCACGGGATCGGGTGGTCAGACTCGCTGACTTGGTTGATGCATGTCATCGTATCCTAATTGCGTGGATCCATGTTCATGATGTCAATCACTGGATTGTCTGGTCCAGACTCGATTATTTACAGACCGCCGTGATATAGCTGGAATATTGTTGAGTGCGGCGTTAAACAGCAAACAATACAATTAACATGGGCTTACGACAGTCGTTGCGCTAAGGTTGTTTTGTACAACGGCACCCTGGTACATAGTCTTTTAGACAATGAATAACGTGATCCTGTAGTGTCTGTTGTAAAATCGTAGAACCCTTATGTGAATTATTAAAAAAACAACCCCCCCCCAAAAACAACAACCCTAAACAACTAAAAACGTTGACACACCCTGAATAAAACGCCCGACTTCGAGTGAGTGCAGATTCATCCAACCAATACATTTACAGTTGTGGACTGCGGACCTGCGCCGGATGTAAACAAGGCTAAGTACGTCAGTACCGGAAGCGCGTATGAGGCCAACGCCAACTACTCCTGCATTGTGGGATACAAGGAAGCAGGTGGCCGCGCCGGCAAAGTGTGCACGGAGTTCGGCAGATGGAGCGGTGAGGATCTCAACTGTACAAGTGAGTTATGGAGGGGCCTCGTTCATCCAGACCGTTGATTTCTGCATCCAGATAAACGAGGAGCAGACAGGAGTTATTATTCAATCCTGATGGGATGTCTCTAATATTCTTCGATTTAGGATAGTGGCTATTCACACAAACATTGGGAAGAACGAAGAGTATAATTGATGACAAAGATCACAGCAAACAGTAAAAACTGACATTCAAAACTAAGAATCTACATCTAGAATTACATGGTTAGAAACGGTATTTAAACATCAGAAATAATTTGAACAGTATAAAAACGATGCTGAATTATTACAAAATGCACACATTCAAACCAACGAAATGTGCTTGACAATCAGAGGACTATGACAAGAAATAAATCGATGGGGTCGAGGGATCATGTCCTTTGTACATATTACACGTTGCTACCAGCCATCCTCGTGACAGCGGGGCATTATATTGTCTGGTAGATGTTTGGATTTGGTTGTCTTGTACTGGACAACTGGTTGATATACACATGAACGTGCATTAACTGTTAATATATGTATGTGTATTCTCTCTACAGTTCGTTGTGTCTAACTTCTTTTTATAACTATTCTATAAACATGACTGAATATTGACGAGAGAGAGAGAGAGAGAGAGAGAGAGAGAGAGAGAGAGAGAGAGAGAGAGAGAGAGAGAGAGAGAGAGAGTCACACAGACACACAGGCACATACACACACATACAGACACATACAGACACACGCACACAGACACACACAGACACACAAAGACAGACACACACAGACACAAACAAACACACACACACAGACACACATACAAACAGAGAGAGAGAGAAAGAGAGAGAGAGAGTCACACAGACACAGGCACATACACACACATACAGACACACACAGACATACACATACAGACACACGCACACAGACACACAAAGACAGACACACACACACACATATACATGTATATCATATATATCTTTTTTTATATATAATTTTTTAATATCATATATATCGTTCTATCATTAAATGTTATTTACTCAAAACTTGTAAAAATGGAGATAGGGCATCCTGGTTCTCATGCGACGATATACGTATATCTTAACTTGCCGATGTGGTGAACCCGCCGTGTCCTGGATGAGATCTAATGTGTTATAGTGTCTGACATTGACGGACAGGTCAGTGCGACGCCCACAGACGTAGCTGGTCAAACAAGCTAAACGTGTTACGTGCACCAGAGATCAAATACATTCGGGTCATATTTCCTGACAGGTGTGTTACATTGAGAACGCTGCACCGGTTCTGCTTATAAAACAAATGAGTGAATGTTTCCTTGAATCGCTCTCATTTTAGTAAAAAATATACGTGACTTTCCTTTGTAAACTCTAGTGCCACACCCGTTGTTTTACGCCGCTTTTAGCAATATTCCAGCAATATCACGGCTGGGGACACCAGAGTGAGTATGGTTTTACGCCGCTTTTAGCAATATTCCAGCAATATCACGGCGGGGGACACCAGAAATGGGCTTCACACATTGTACCTATGTCGGGAATCGAACCCGGGTCTTCGGCGTGACGAGCGAACGCTTTAACCACTAGGCTACCCGACAGCCCCTGGGGACACCAGAAATGGGCTTCACACATTGTACCCATGTCGGGAATCGAACCCGGGTCTTCGGCGTGACGAGCGAACGCTTTAACCACTAGGCTACCCGACAGCCCCTGGGGACACCAGAAATGGGCTTCACACATTGTACCCATGTTGGGAATCGAACCTGGGTCTTCGGGGTGACGAGCGAACGCTTTACCCATAAGACTACCCCACCGCCCCTGGGGACACCAGAAATGGGCTTCACACATTGTACCCATGTTGGGAATCGAACCTGGGTCTTCGGGGTGACGAGCGAACGCTTTACCCATAAGACTACCCCACCGCCCTGTTATGTGAGAACATTTAGAATGAGTTCCTTGTCGCGATCAGCTCCAACATTGCTGATGCGGCGTTAAGCAATATTCACTCACTCACTCACTCATTAGAATTATGTCCGATAGTAGTACGTTTGTATTATATTTTACAACATGCTGTTAGTCATATATCAGAGGGTGGTGGGGTAGCTTAGCGGTTAAAGTTATCGGTCGTCACGCCGAAGTCCCGGGTTCGATTCCCCAACTGGGTACAATGTTTGAAGCCTATTTTTGGTGTTCCCGCTGTCCTCTGTCATGATATTGCTTAAAGCGGCGTAAAACCATACTCACTTATATATCAGATAGGGCGTTAAACCCAACTCATTTATTCACTTATATATTAGTGAGTGAGTGAGTTGGATTTAATGCCGCTTTTAACATTATTCCAGTTATATCACGGCGTGTCAGCTTAATGTGGGAAGAAAGCCCGAAGTGATGCAGGACTAAGACGTTTACCACTTCGGTGAAACCCACGAGCACGGGTATGGTGCTGACAAACCTAGAAACATAATTGGTGCGAACCGGGATTCGAAACCATAATCATAGGTTTCTGGCATGCCCAAGGGACGCAACTTTGCACAGCGAATCGCGGCGCCTTAGACGACTGGGCCACCCGTGCCCCCTCACTCATATATTAGAGCGTCGTTAAATTCAACTCACATGTATATGAGTCTATAGATGGAAATACAGGCTTGTGTTCAGACAGGTATGGCTGACTGCCAGTCATACTTCAAATTTATGGTATTTGGGTACTTTTCTCCGCTCAGAACTATCAACTTTATCAGGTAATTCGCTCAGATATACGTATTATTTGATAAGAAAAAAGGTTCTCTCTATTATGTTTGTATTACGTGGAGTCTTTATTTAGCATTAAGAAGTCGGTTGAATATATTTGGTGAACAACAGTGTCTAAAGTGCAAAAGCGCTCGGTTGCAAATTAAAATTAGAGGTATAAATTCTTCAGTGAGACTTCGTCAAATTTAAAAACACAGTTTTTTTGTTTTTTTTATAAGACAATTTTGATACTCTTGTCATTCACCGAATAAAGAATTTGATGACAATTTTAAACTTCCAGTCGTGACTTGTGCCAAAGCACCGGAAATAGGCCACGCCCACCTGACCGGTAACTATACGCCTACATACCGATCAACCGCCACGTATTCCTGTGACCTTGGGTACGACGAAGATGGCGGGAACACCACGCTTGTCTGCACTGAGGAGGGCGTGTGGCATGGGATGAGGTTAAAATGTAAAGGTGGGTTTTACCCAGGACACTCCCGTGAAGATTCGGGGTAGAATAGGTCTTCAACAACCCATGATTGCCATAAAAAGCGACTATGCTTGTCGTAAGATCGGTTGGTCAGGCTCGCTGACTTGGTTGATGCATGTCATCGATCCCAATTGCGTGGATCGATGCTCATGATGTCAACCACTGGATTGTCTGGTCCAGACTCGATTATTTACAGACTGCTGTCTTATAGCTGGAATATAGCTGAGTGCGGCGTTAAACAGCAGACCAACCAACCAACCAACACAGGCCAATTGCGTGGATCGATGCTCATGATATCAATCACTGGATAGTCTAGTCCAGACTCGATTATTTACAGACCGCCGTCATATAGCTGGAATATTGCTAAGTGCGGCGTTAAACAACAAACCAACCAACCAGGATATTCTGACACTCTATGTGTGAACGTGAGTGTGTGAGTGACAAAGTGTGAGTGTGTGAGTGAGAAAGGGTGAGTGTGTGAGTGAGAAAGGGTGAGTGTGTGAGTGAGAAAGGGTGATCGTGTGAGTGAGAAAGGGTGAGTGTGTGAGTGAGAAAGGGTGAAGCAGTGAGTGAGAAAGGGAGAGTGTGTGAGTGAGAAAAAGTGAGTCAGTGAGTGAGAAAGGGTGAGTCAGTGAGTGAGAAAGGGTGAGTCAGTGAGTGAGAAAGGTGATTGTGTGAGTAAGAAAGGGTGAGTCAGTGAGTGAGAAAGGGTGAGTCAGTGAGTGAGAAAGTGTTAGTGAGAAAGGGTGAGTCAGTGAGTGAGAAAGGGTGGGTCAGTGAGTGAGAAAGGGTGAGTCAATGAGTGAGAAGGGTAAAAGTGTGAGTGGGAAAGGGTGAGTCAGTGCGTGAGAAAGGGTGAGTCAGTGAGCGAGAAAGGGTGAGTGTGAGTGAGAAAGGGTGAGTGTGTGAGTGAGAAAGGGTGAGTCAGTGCGTGAGAAAGGGTGAGTCAGTGAGGGAGAAAGGGTGAGTGTGTGAGTGAGAAAGGGTGAGTCAATGAGTGAGAAAGGGTGAGTGTATGAGTGAGAAAGGGTGTGTGTGAGAAAGGGTGAGTCAGTGAGTGAGAAAGGGTGAGTCAGTGAGTGGGAAAGGGTGAGTCAGTGAGGGAGAAAGGGTGAGTGTATGAGTGAGAAAGGGTGTGTGTGAGAAAGGGTGAGTGTGTGAGTGAGAAAGAGTGAGTCAGTGAGTGAGTATTCGTTAGTGCCGCATCGTTACTTGTGAAACTCTTGACCAGTGAGAACAACAGCGTAGTTTGTATTCCCGGTAGACCTAATGAAGAGTAGCCTCCCTTACCTAGGGATCCGCTAATCCTGGGTTCTAATGGCCGCTTATTCTCTTGGTTAGACAGCGCCATACTGTGTTCGTAAGTTTCATAGAAGTAGGAAGCGACTGAGATATGCGACATGTTGACCCGTGACGATCCTGGGTTGGAATTTGCCCTCAGCAAACCATCTTTGTCCTAAGAGGCGACTAACGGGATCTGGTGGTCAGACTCGCTGACTTTGTTGATGCATGTCATCGTATCCATATGCATTTGCGTAGATCGACGCTCATATGTCTGTCTATCACTGGATTGTCTGGTCCAGACTCGATTATTTCAGACCGCCGTCACATAGCTGGAATAATGGTGAGTGCGGCGTTAAACAAAAAACAAACAAACAAACAAACAAACAAACAAACCGATACACTGTTCAAACGACGTCCATCCAGCAGACTCACATGCATACAAGCAGTGTAAACAAATGTTTTGGCTGTTGGTCACGTTTAATAAGGGGACCGTTTAAAAAGAACATACATTTTGTATTATTAATAAACAAACGTGTTTCATACGTCATTGAAGAAATGAATGTTTTTGTTTCATTTAGAGAGACCATCGGCTGCTGAAGCCATCGGGGTCATCAAGAAATTTGAACCTGTAGCTGTCGAGGCTTCCGGGTCCGTTGGATTCGGCGTGGTGGCGTACAGCATCATGGGAGTTCTGCTGCTCGTGATGCTGTTGCTGGACCTGGCCACTTTCTACAAGCATCTCATGTACATGAAGGAGAACGTGAAGGACTTCTGGGAGAGCAGGAGACCCGCCCGGTCCATCTCACTCCCCGAGAAGCACAGAACATACAGCTCGGAGGCTTGAGTCGGCAGTGGGGGGAGGGGTGACATTACATACAGCTCAGAGGCTTGAGTCAGCAGTAGGGGAGCGGGGGGGGGGGGGGGGGGGGGGGGGAGGAGGAGGGACATCACATATAGCTCAGAGGCTTGGGTCGACAGTAGGGGCAGGGGGTGACATCACATAAAGGTCGGAGGCTTGAGTCGGCAGTAGGGGGAGTAGGGTGTGACATCACATATAGCTCAGAGGCTTGGGTCGACAGTAGGGGGAGGGGGTGACATCACATATAGCTCAGAGGCTTGGGTCGACAGTAGGGGTAGTAGGGTGTGACATCACATATAGCTCAGAGGCCTTGGTCGACAGTAGGGGGAGTAGGTTGTGACATCACATATAGCTCAGAGGCTTGGGTCGACAGTAGGGGGGAGGGGGTGACATCACATATAGCTCAGAGGCTTAGGTCGACAGTAAGGGGAGTAGGGTGTGACATCACATATAGCTCAGAGGCTTGGGTCGACAGTAAGGGGAGTAGGGTGTGACATCACATATAGCTCAGAGGCTTAGGTCGGAAGTAGGGTGTGACATCACATATAGCTCAGAGGCTTGAGTCGGCAGTAGGGGGAGTAGGGTGTGACATCACATATAGCTCAGAGGCTTGGGTCGACAGTAGGGGGAGGGGGTGACATCACATATAGCTCAGAGGCTTGGGTCGACAGTAGGGGGACTAGAAGTGGTGACATCACATATAGCTCAGAGGCTTGGGTCGACAGAAGGGGGAGTAGGGTGTGACATCACATATAGCCCAGAGGCTTAGGTCGGAAGTAGGGTGTGACATCACATATAGCTCAGAGGCTTGGGTCGACAGTAGGGGGAGGGGGTGACATCACATATAGCTCAGAGGCTTGGGTCGACAGTAGGGGGAGTAGGGTGTGACATCACATATAGCTCAGAGGCTTAGGTCGGAAGTAGGGTGTGACATCACATATAGCTCAGAGGCTTGGGTCGACAGTAGGGGGAGTAGGGTGTGACATCACATATAGCTCGGAGGCTTAGGTCGGAAGTAGGGTGTGACATCACATATAGCTCAGAGGCTTGGGTCGACAGTAGGGGGAGTAGGGTGTGACATCACATATAGCTCAGAGGCTTGAGTCGGCAGTAGGGGGAGGGGGTGACATCACATATAGCTCAGAGGCTTGGGTCGACAGTAGGGGGAGTAGGGTGTGACATCACATATAGCTCAGAGGCTTGGGTCGGCAGTAGGGGGAGTAGGGGGTGACATCACATATAGCTCAGAGGCTTGGGTCGGCAGTAGGGGGAGTAGGGGGTGACATCACATATAGCTCGGGGCTTGGGTCGGCAGTAGGCGGAGGGGGGTTTCGCTCGTCACGATTCCCGACATGGGTACAATGTGTGACATCACATATAGCTCAGAGGCTTGGGTCGACAGTAGGGGGAGGGGGTGACATCACATATAGCTCAGAGGCTTGGGTCGACAGTAGGGGTAGTAGGGTGTGACATCACATATAGCTCAGAGGCCTTGGTCGACAGTAGGGGGAGTAGGTTGTGACATCACATATAGCTCAGAGGCTTGGGTCGACAGTAGGGGGGAGGGGGTGACATCACATATAGCTCAGAGGCTTAGGTCGACAGTAAGGGGAGTAGGGTGTGACATCACATATAGCTCAGAGGCTTGGGTCGACAGTAAGGGGAGTAGGGTGTGACATCACATATAGCTCAGAGGCTTAGGTCGGAAGTAGGGTGTGACATCACATATAGCTCAGAGGCTTGAGTCGGCAGTAGGGGGAGTAGGGTGTGACATCACATATAGCTCAGAGGCTTGGGTCGACAGTAGGGGGAGGGGGTGACATCACATATAGCTCAGAGGCTTGGGTCGACAGTAGGGGGACTAGAAGTGGTGACATCACATATAGCTCAGAGGCTTGGGTCGACAGAAGGGGGAGTAGGGTGTGACATCACATATAGCCCAGAGGCTTAGGTCGGAAGTAGGGTGTGACATCACATATAGCTCAGAGGCTTGGGTCGACAGTAGGGGGAGGGGGTGACATCACATATAGCTCAGAGGCTTGGGTCGACAGTAGGGGGAGTAGGGTGTGACATCACATATAGCTCAGAGGCTTAGGTCGGAAGTAGGGTGTGACATCACATATAGCTCAGAGGCTTGGGTCGACAGTAGGGGGAGTAGGGTGTGACATCACATATAGCTCGGAGGCTTAGGTCGGAAGTAGGGTGTGACATCACATATAGCTCAGAAGCTTGGGTCGACAGTAGGGGGAGTAGGGTGTGACATCACATATAGCTCAGAGGCTTGAGTCGGCAGTAGGGGGAGGGGGTGACATCACATATAGCTCAGAGGCTTGGGTCGACAGTAGGGGGAGTAGGGTGTGACATCACATATAGCTCAGAGGCTTGGGTCGGCAGTAGGGGGAGTAGGGGGTGACATCACATATAGCTCAGAGGCTTGGGTCGGCAGTAGGGGGAGTAGGGGGTGACATCACATATAGCTCGGGGCTTGGGTCGGCAGTAGGCGGAGGGGGGTTTCGCTCGTCACGATTCCCGACATGGGTACAATGTGTGAAGCCTATTTCTGGTGTCCCCCGCTGTGATATTGCTGGAATAAAAGCGGAGTAAAACAATACTCACTCACCACTCTTTATATTATAATGCAAGTCTTCTTAACGTCTGTCAATCCCAGAATAACCTGTCTTCACAAACGACAGTCATGTTGTACCAACAAAAGGGGGCAGGGGTGGCCCAGTCGTCTATCGCGCCGCGATTCGCTGTGCATAGCACGCCATGAACCTATGATTGTGGGTTCGAATCCCGGTTCGCCCCGATTATGTTTCTAGGTTTGTCAGCACCATACCCGTGCTCGTGGGTTTCACCGAAGTGGTAAACGTCTGAGACCTGCATCACTTCGGGCTTTCCTCCCACATTATGCTGACACGCCGTGATGTAACTGGAATACTGTTAAAAGCGGCGTTAAACCCAACTCACTCACTCACTCACCAACAAAAGGCGCTAACGGTACTACGCACGTTTATAGCAGATTAGGGCAACGGATGGAAAGTGCCGTTACTCCATTCACATATGAAGGTACAGTGTTGAATCTTTAGCCACACATAACGAACTGCTTATTCATCAATTTTGGGAAGAAACATCCCGCTCAATACCGCGATATTCCCGTCACTGTACATCAGTGTAAGTGCCAGTATTAGCCCCGTGAAGATCCAATTGCGCGGATCCATGCTTATTACATCAATCACTGGATTGTCTGGTCCAGACTCGATTATTTACAGACCGCCGTCATATAGCATGAATATTGCTGAGTGCGGAGTTATAGAACAACAACAACAATCAGTCTAATTAAATTCATTGCATAATCTACATTTCATGTTTACATTTTGATGCAAAATCACACATTGACGGTTTCGAGTGGGAAGTGACTGGTCCTGAGCAGCAAACAGAAAGCCTTTTGTTTCACCTATGACTGTTTCACCTGCAGGGTGAACCTCTTAACACACTGCACATAAACTCGATGCAGTGGTCGTTCAGAAAACCTCTCGAGTCTGGGCAGATTTGATATGGCACCTCGCTTGGTTGACTCTTATTTCTGTACCGTCCAGCAGTACAGAACCGTCAACAAAACCAACATTGACATTGAGATAATGTCCAACATCCTTGGCTCGTTTAAGAAAACTGTGGAATGCCTTGTTTTTATCATGAGTCTTGACATGCTTCAAAATAGGATCATCAGACATATAAATGCGTGCAAAAGTGCACAAAACAATTCTATCATGAACAGCCTCCACGTTAATCAAACCACGCCCTCCCATGTTATTATTATTATTATTATTATTTATTATTATTATTATTATTATTATTATTATTATTATTATTATTATTATTCCACACGTCATATAAATCAAGTTCATTGCACTGTAAGTGTGTGCTCAAGCTTCAGTCAATAAAACTAACGTCACATCTTGTATTTATTCAATTTATTATATACGATCGCGTGTTTCCATACACGATAAGGAAAACTGTTTGCTCGTTTTAATGATAACGTTTGATGATGGCCGCCTGTCGATACTGGAGTGTGGGCCACATATCTCTGTTTCAGCAACGTCCGTCCCACGTCATAGCTAGCATTTGGATACCATGCATTCAACCAAACAACTGAGCCTGAGCTCCCGAGATCCCCTTAGTCACGCATTGGTTGCTGGGGACTTATATATGTTAACTGTCAAATATTTCGCAAACTCCTTCAGAAATGATTTTAGTAACTGTTCTTTTAAAAATGGCGAAGGGGACGCATTTTTTATTACGAGTGTTGTACTCACATTAAATATATACTACTCAAAAGAAGTTAAAGAACACCCGATTCTTTCATATTACTATATGAGGATAAGAAATTTATGGATGAACAACTTCTTTATTACAATTAAGAGCGACGTTTCGGTGTAGGTTCTAACACCGTTATCAAGCAAGTGTAAATAAATTTCTTATCCTCACTTAGTACTCCAACTTCTAAATGCCTATCAAAGAAGTCATATTACTATAGTTAATGTGTCTTGGCATGTGAGATTAACTAAAGTAATATGAAAGATTTGGGTGTTCTTTAACTTCTTTTGAGTGGTATATGTAATACTGCAATGTTAATAAAGGTATACATTTCTATTCAACCTTCGGCGATTGCCCATTCACACTATAGGAGTATCGACTTGTACAGTCCCGCTGCTGTGTGTCCGACAATGTAAAGTTATTATGGTTCCGTGTGTAGTCAATATTCACAATGGTGATTCATAGTTAGTAATGTATATGACAACTGTTAGAAGTGACTTACGGCATCAAATCTAAAGCTGTACGAACAAGTCAGTCAGTCACTGATGTCCGAATGTGGAAGGTACGTTCAGAGGTGGGGTGAGATGAAATTGGGTTTAACGTCGCGTCCAAGATTATTGCACTTACAGTAAACTACGGTTATAACGAACTTATAGGGACTACTAATTTTAGTTCGTTATAACCGTGGTTCGTTATATGCATATATACAGCATAACTAA